CTATTTAAAGACATGGGTTTATTTATACACTTTTTTTACCCTCCTCCCCTCCAAACTCCCACCCTATTTTTTTAAGATGGCAAATTATCAGTAGCCCTGAACACATAAAATTTGACGGTGGTTTACCAGACAATTTGTATCGGTCACTTTGTCTTTGCTGGTACTTTTATTCTTCAATAAATTCCTTCAACCACTGAACAATGTTATTCCCACAACAACTTTTAGCAGAGATCAAAAGAGTGAGGCAGGTTTGCTCCAATTTTCTACTGCTGCTGGTCAGGCATTGAAGAGCTAAATGGAGACAAAAGGTGTTTTTCTTTCCTTTGCTCTCCTCTAAAGGGTTTTGTCCCGGAATTCCAAAGCCAGTGAAAACATTTTAAAAAGTAATTAAGGTGGGTTTTGGGGGGTGGGGAGATTGGTTTCAATCCAGTACTTAACTCATTGTGCTTTTGCTGAAACAACGATGACATCAATTGATAGCACTGTCTCACCTTCTTAAAAAGAACCTGTACTGCTAGGAAAACCAGAATAATTATGAATTAAACTACTGTCTTGGCAGACCTCTGGTGTCAGAGGGAATATCTGTTTTGAGACATAGAGATATATGTGTCTGCAAACCCCAGTCCAGTCACTGGGAGAGAGAAATTGGACTTCTCACAACTGTTTTGCACAAGGTGAACTTCACTGCCTGCTTCATCTCTACAGTGCAGTGTTCCTTCAAGGAACTCAGAAATCCTCAAAGAGGCTGCTTGATTTGGGATCTACTTGGTAGAATAGGAGTTGAAGAGATCTGAGCTCACAGTCAGTCTTGTCAGGTGTTGAAACCTGTTGCAACCACAGGAATAGACCTTAAAATCTTATCCCTGAAGGGACTGTGCATGCATTGGGTTATACTGGGATCTCTGTAAGTTTAAAAAGAGGAAAATCTATCAGACAAATACAAAAAAGCCTCTGTGAGATTACTTAATCCCCAACACTGAATTCAACCTTTGGAAAGAGTCAAACTCTCGTGAGGCTTCAGGGGAAAGGAGGACACTCAGATGAGGCTGAAGAAGCCCACAGGGGAAGCTGCCTATTTCATTTCTGGAACGTGGACCATGTGCAACTATTTTTAACTTTGAACTGAGTTCCTCTGCCTCCTGCCAGAAGGCCTGAGCCCTGTGCTAGTGCAACGAGAGCAGTGGCCCAGCCATCCCCTGATAGCTTTTACTTCTTAATAAAGAGCAGCACTTAGGCAAGGGATGAGGTTACTGTCGGAGGGGTCATGATTAATAATGATTAATCTGATCCTTGCCGACATGAACTGGATCCACCATTCACTAAATAATTACTCTGCAGCATGGATACCCTTTCCAGAGGAGGCATACATTTGTCGTATTAAAACCAAAACCAAACACACAGAAGAACAGGAGGGTCTGACTTCTCCGTAACACTTGATCTCACAGGAACCACCGGAAAAGTTAAGCAAAGAGAAAAAAAAAATAATCAAAGGGTAAAAGCAGTTAAACATTGATGAGCCACCCACCTTTTGGGAGAAGCAATAAAAAACAAATAAAACTAAACTCTGAGAAGGCAGAGCTGCATGAGGATATGGAGAACTCTGCTACTTCTGGTTCTCAATCCTATGCATACCTCTAATATGCACGCTATTTGCCCACCCACACATTTTACTCCTGTTTTTAAATTACACTGTTTTGTGTTCTTTTTTTTTTCCTCTGAAGGTACATAAATGAAATCACTCCCCAGGAAACATCTTCCCTACTTTATGTTGGTACTACTTGGCACAAGTAGTATCCTAGTCCAGGATTGCCATTCTTATACAACAATGCACCTCAAATAATAAGCAACATTATAATAATTTATGGGGAGGCATAAATTACTGGTAAACTAATAACCACTCCTAAGAGCATATATGAACCTTACAATTACACTGGTATGTTTGTGGTGCAGAGTCTTGGTTCTTGGCCTCAGAGTAGTGATGAATTTTACTCCCACAAAGCACACAAATAATTGGCAATTTTGCTGGTGGCAGCCAAAGACACAGGTTTTGCTGGCAAGAGGTGGTCTTATCTGGGGACTCCTCTCAGTCATCCTGCTTCACTGACCCAAAATTTCATCTAGACCATGCATGGGCAATAGGACTAGTTATTCAGTGCAGCTGTATCCCCTTTGAAGTTTTCAAAGCTTTTATGGGATTTTTATGGCACTGTTTAGCCTTCCACCTCATCTTAGTTCAAGTTGGATTTGGTGGCCACACAGCAGAGGCTACCAGTCCCTCTCCTGGAACAGAAAGGTTGGGTTCCTTGTGCCTGTTGTGACATCACAGCCCCATGTGAGCCTGTCTGCACTTCTGCCCTTGACAGGTCCAGATTTTACACACTGGAAAACATTATGCAGTTAGTTGATGTCTTTGATTGCCAGATTTGGGGAAGCAGAACTCAGATCAAAGGAGTTTAAGGTGCCATTTCTTCCAGAGATATACTGGAGAACCACAGAATCACAGAATATATTGAATTGGGTCATGAATTGGCTCAACTGGGAATTTTCACTTGTGGGACTGTGTGTTTAGGACTTTTTGCCAGTTTCCAAACTGACTCGAAAGAATGAAAGAAAAATTAAATATTTGCAAAACATCACCTTTCAGAGAAATTTCAGCCAAAAAGTAGTTGGTGAGTCCCAAAACTTTAAATTTACCTATTTATGTGTACATTCAAGCAAATGAAAACTAAGTTGCATATTCACAAAAGCTTAAAGAGGCATCAGAGTGAAACACAAAGCACAGAAAAGGGGGGGGAAAAAAAAAAGACCCCAACAACAATAATGAAGGTAAACCTTTAAAATCTGAGACAGGGCGCAGGAGGAGGGAGTAAAGCTCTGCAAACAAAACTAAATCCAGTGCACTGTTTTTCCCCTTCACAAAGTGAAACAAGCCGTTCCTAAAATAATGCTTCCTTGGTTTTCTGGCAATTAGTGTCCTGAAGGATTAGCCTACAATCGTCGGCAAGTGTTTGCCTTTCCCAGCCGATGTCACCATAGAAGTCTGTGTTTATCTACAAGGCCCAGGGGATAATTTATAAGCTGAGCTGAGGTCCTGCATTTACAGACAAATGTTCCACACTGCCACCCACTCTCCTGTAGCAGTTTCCTCCTCATCCACCTCCTGTCCCCTGAAATACAGACAGGACCCTGCCAGGGGCATGATGAATGAGCTTTACAGACTGTGAAGCAAGCCCTTGCCCCACAGTTTGTGTTGTTACAGCAAAGAAAGAGTTACTGAAATGGTCAACACATCACCAGTTTACAACAAAAATTAGATTTCAGAAAGTAACTGAATGCAAAAAATAATTTCCACTGTTCTAGAAAACATAAAAGAATGGGATTTCTTTTTCCCTCTGAAAACTATTGCCTACTCTATAATTAAAATATTGCCATTTATGAGTTTTAGGTCTACCACACAGGATTTTTTAGAGATACTGCTATTTAAAACCTTTCTGCAATCAGGATGTTCCAATTTAATTTCTAATCTGTACTGCCAGTGGTTTAACGCTGCTTTAGTCTTGTAAACCAGAGTACATCAAAATATAAAAGACTAAAATTGGTAAGAGTGTTTGTTTCCACATTATTTTTTCCTGATGTGTTAGAACCTCAAAATGAGACTAGTAAGCTCATATTTGAGGGAATGGGAAGCCAGTCTTTAAAGAAAAGTAATATGAACCCTGGTCTTGATGGTCAACTGATAATATAGCTCATGGAAATGAATTTGTTACTTTGAAAATACCATTTAAAAAAAAAAAAAACACAAGCAAAACAAAACAAATCAGTGAATGACTAAATCCTACAAAGAATTTGTAAGTGTGACTAATGTTCCTCACAAAAGAGCCTGCTACAAAATAGGTAGATGGATGGATAGATTTTCTCAGATCTTCTTAAAGATTAACAAAACAAGGCTTAGAAACACTGTTATTAATTACAGTTGTTGAATGTTAAAATTTGAGGCATTTTAAAAACAAAAACCACTTTTCCTCTTGAGAATTCACCTCTTTTTCCTGCAAGAAATTGCCATGAGTTTCTGAACTATGTGGACACTGTTTGAATCTGCTTCAGGTCTACACTCAGTCACAGGCTGTTCACAAGGTACATTAGAGAACAAAGTTGTTTGACCTTTGAGATCAACGGCTTCACTTTGCCATATTTAAGACTGGATGACCCGATTTTATAAAATGTTTATGCTCAAATCAAATTTTGTTTCATTTTCGGAACGAATGATCTCCGGATTCAAACTTCTCTTTACCTACAAAGCCAGAAGGCCATAATCACTAAAAATTTTGACAGAGATGAATAAGTGCAAAATGGCAGGAGGCAGCAAGAGACCACCAGCTGGCTATCATAACGAGCACAGACCATCTCGCTTGCAATTACTGAACCCTACAAGTGGTCCCACCAATGTCAGTTTGACCAATTTTAGAATAAAGGGCCATTCATTCCAAGTAATGAATATTGAAACCTGGCCATCAGTTTGTGAGCAAGTTTTTACATGTCTATCATGAGGGGACCTCAATAAGAAAAGTCCTTGTGATGGTGTCACTCCAGAACAAAAGCATGCAAAGAATGGCACGTTTTTCTGTAGCTGCCACCCATCTAGGCAGATACAGTAGGAGACCAAAGGTTGCATGCATTTAGCCAGCAAGGAAATGCAATATTCTTTAAGAAAGGCATTGCCTGGAGTGGATTTTTATAAAGAAACAGAATTCATGAATAAATAAACCAGATGTGAATAAGCCAGGCTAGGGCATGAACAGCTCTTAGTGCAAGGAATCCCCGATCTTGCTTAAGGGTTTTTCTACAAATAACAAACACAAAAACATTAATGTTGTACCATTGTCAATCATGTCAAGAACTCTGCTTGTGTCCAGGAACTCTGATATGGAACAGAACAAAACAAATCCACCAGATGTTAAAACATTTTGCATTTCCATCAGTAAAGGTATATATTGACTGACCTGATCTGAGTCTTTCACTTGAGAATTTTTCCCTTTTCTGCAACCACAACTCATAAGCAGTTTTGCATCTCCAATGACTTTTCCCTAAAAGAGATAAGGCAAGAAAAACATCAGCACAATCTCAACCACTGAAGACCAAGAAGTCTTGTATTTATTACCAGAAACAGAGGAAGAACGAGCATTAGGGAAGCCTGTGGACTCATCCTGCATTCCTGGGAGGTCCCCTTTCACAGAGGGGTAGCTCCCAAGCTGCCAAGAAGACTTTCCCAAGGGCCAATATCGCAGCATCAGGGATGTGACATAGACAGGGGTATAGGGATAGCAAAGTGCATGGGAAAACACAGCGGGAAAGCAAAGCTGAAAAAAAAAAAAAAGTCAAAAAGTCATTTTAGTACGTTGTTTTCATACACTTACATGAACAGGAACAAGTCTATCATGCTCAGAGAGTACAAGTACCAAACTGCAGTGACTTGAAGAAAAACTCCCTTACCAAGTTAGTTCCTACTTGCTTCTAGTGCCTAGATGTGGTGCAATCAAGTCTACAGGTGTGACTTGCCCTCAGCAGGACAATGGGTCCACATCACCACTGGCACTAAATCCCTGACAGGAATTCAACAACCCACCCTCAGCCAACACTGCTGGCACAGACCCTGTAATTTCTATAACATAGAATCTTCTATAACATAGAAGGAAGAGACCTTAAAGACCATCCAGTTCCAACCCCCTGCCTTGGACAGGGACACCTTTCACTATACAAAGTTGCTCAAAGCCCCATCCAGCGTGACCCTGAACACTTCCAGGAGTGGATGCTGGGGTCAGCAGAGATTTGCAAAGCAGCAGAGTCCCTTCACTCTCCTTTTACCTGCAATGAACAGTTTGAGAAAGAAGCTGAGATCGGATACCTTATTTTTGTTGAAAACCCACTAGACTGACGTGGTTAGATCAGCAAGGTCCCTTATGTTAATATAGTTCTTTTTGGGGATTATTTGAGTCACTCTGGTTCTTCACCAGAGCATTTTTGTTGCTTATCAAACCAGGGTATCTTTAAGATAAAGCACCATGACAGAAAGGATTTCAAATTCCAGATTTGGTCAAAATGCTCCCTAAACTCAGACTGTAACACAGGCAATGGAGTCTCCACAAACCTGTCACAATTACTCGCTTCCCATGGGCACACACAAAGACATTGTCTATTTTCAGACTTTTCCTGCCCAGCTAAAAAATAAACACTCTCAGCATCCACTGGGGAAGAGAAGAAGAATCTGCTTGTGTACAGCCATGGAGAGTCACGAGATCTCAACTGGATTACTTTACAGAGAAAAGGAGATCCCAACACTAACACAGTTACTGAGTTTAGCCAAGTGGAAGTGTTCTGTCCTAAACAATGAGGAAGGGAAAGGGCATGATTAAAAGGAGTTGCAGCCATTGCTCAATGTCAGGGCACAGCAGAGAGATGACCCTTGGTGGCAGGAATTACAAAAAGGCAGATAAACTTTTGGTCACCTTGGGAAAGCCTGCAACCTGCCAGGTGTGGTGAGATCTCTTACTTGGTGACCTCAGCACCTCACAAATCCCAGCAAGGTCAGATAATGTTCAGAAGTTATCTTTTTTTCCCTCTTTCCAAAAGAGAAGCTGGGAAAAAATAAGACACCGAAAAGGTAGTACTGGTACTTCACCTGATACCTAACAAAATGTTTCATTTGGTCTGCTGATAGCATCCTGTCAAACTCTGAGGTTTTCAGGGGACTACTTGCAATTGGCAACCTCTGCCTGTGACTCCAGTTTATCAATGGTGTTTTGCTCTTGCCCCATTATTACAGTCCTTCAAAAATCAGTCCATAATCTCTAAAATTCTAAAATTAAAAAACCATTGCCCAGAAGGAAGTGATTAAACTAGAAGTTAAAGCAAGTGTATTACATTATTATGATAGTGATAGGAAACTGAGGCACAGGGAGAGACTCATCTGTCTAACCACAGAACACCTTCTACACATCTCACACTATATGACACAAGTTGGAGCCACAAAGGACCTAAGAGAGACCCACACACTTCCTAAAAGGCAGCTGATGTGCAGCCAGGATATCTTGGGGTACCTATAGCAATAACACACTCTTGTGGTTAGGAAACTAGATCCATATGGATCTTGTGGATAGTCAATTTCTCCCAGTATCCACTGCAAAGTCATCATGTTGAAAAAGAAAATTGAACTCTTTTTTAACCACAAGCCAAGGAAAAACTCCCATTTTTAGACCCTTCCATGGCTCTAATATGACCTGAGCTCATGGCAAACCACAGCCATGTTCTCCTGCCCAAGTGGAAATATCACCAGTTTTATTTACCAGAGAGAAACTGCAAGATGTTGCCCATAGGCACCTGGGAAATCAGGAGTAGAAGGGAAATATTAACCCAAAACTTGATTTTTTTTTTCTTTTTCTATGGCAGTACAAGAATAAAGGAACTTTTCCATTCCCTAAAAAAAAAAAAAAAAAATCAAATGAAAGTAATGCACTGGATGAATAATCTCACCTCCTTTTCCAGCTGCAGATGCACCTCTCCTAATGTGCACTGGCTGAATGAGCTGCTACCTCCACCTTATTTTAGGAAAGCTTCTTACGAGCAGATGCTTAATTTGGGGATAGGTGTCTAACATTAGGCAGCTAAGTTAAAAGGCAAAAGAGAAAAAAAAAAAAAAAGCATATGGACAACATTTGCAGCCAGTCGCAACTCTGTTCCAGAGCAGATGGAGGCCTTGTCATTCAGGGGTTTCCTCACATACACCAAGCAGTTCAGTGGGGATAGGGAAAGGGGCTTCTGTTTGGATGCTTCTGTCTGGAACCAGATTAGAAGGAAGCATGCTTTTCCACAGCACACGCCTTGTGTTACATTAAACATGCATATGCAGCTTCAGCTTTTATTCAGTGATCTGAAACAGAGCCCTCCAGGGTGCTAAGGGTTAGGGAGTTTTTGTTTGTTTATCTGTATGTTATTTTACAGTTTCTAGTGCCCAAGGAGTTTGTTAAGAAATTAAAACACCTCGCTGAGGCTATCCTGATGTGGATGTTGCCTCCTAATATATCCCCCCTGCCTTCGTCCAGCAGCGCCTGATGCACATAAGGGAGGGAGAAGAATGCTGCAAAGAGAGGAGCCTCAACTCACTGGGTATTATAGATGTTTGGTCTGAGCACTATTTCCATGTTTCCTGGCCTTTTATTAACGGCCTTGAGGAGGAGAACAGTTATGTTGAAATCTCGCAGATGTACTGCCTACTTTTGATGAGATGCTGTGGTTTAGAAGCAGGTAGGCACAAGGTTTTCCAGTAGGGAAGCTCACTTTTCCCTCTGCTGGCTCCTACCCATTGTCAGACACCACCCTTCCCAAGGCAAAGAGCAAGAAGGCTCCTTGACAAAGCACATATGTCACATCATCCCACCTCTTCCAGGGGATCTCTCTGCCCTCACCCATCTCCTTGCACCACAGTGCAACCAGCAGTTGGCCAAAGTTTGCAGAAAAAGAAGAAAAAAAATCATAATAATAGTAACAGGCTTAATTATCTCAGCTGCACGGGTGACAGGAGCTGAGCGGTTGCCAATTTTAACAGACTGTGGTCGAGAAATACCGAACTGCGTCACCCAGAAGTCAAATGAGGGTCGGTCACAACTCGCTTCACGCCAGCGGCGCTGGGGGGGGCTCAGGGGCACACACAAATCACGCGCGACATCGCCCAGAGCCGTCCCGGGCGGAGCTGCCAGCACTGTTTAAAGGAGTCAGACACGAGGCACATGGCACCGGCGGGCCTCCACGGAGCTGCCAGGCCCTGTGCTATGGAGGAGCTGGCTGGGATTAACGGGAGCATCCCGTCCTCCTCCCGCTCTCCCAAGCCTGCGGCTGAAAAACTCAGCTGGAGAGGTGGGCTCAGCTTTAGCAGCACCGTGTCGTGCGTTTTGCAGCGTCTGACAGGTCCAGCAGGGCTCTGACCTGCTCGGTTTTCATCAGGCTTCCTCTGTTCTGAGCAATGGCCACTGAAAATACTGGAAGTAGCCTCTTCCCCAGGGAGCTGGCACAAACACACAGAGGATGGTTGGGTGCTGGAACCACCCCAGGGCACTGGTCACAGCCCCAAGTCTGCCAGAGTTCAAGAAGTGTTTGGACAAGGCTCTCAGGCACATGGTGTGACTCTTGGAGCTGTCCTGTGCAGGGCCAGAACTGGGACTCGATGATCCTTGTGAGTCCCTTCCAACTCGAGATATTGTTCTGTGATTCTATGTATAGCACTGCAACAGTGCAAAATCCCCATGGGTGCACAAATGCCATTAAGAAGAACAACACATTCAGTGTTTATTATGTTTTTTATGCTGTTCTGTCAGGGTGATCCACACATTTTGAAAAACCAGTACCCAAGTGCCTATAGTGGAAGAGTGGGAGAGAAGGGGGGGAAAACGCAGGGAAACAAGAACTGAATCCAAGGTGGAGGCAAGCGGCAGTACAACAGACAGCTGGTGTTTGGGTGGTGGTAAATCACCCTGAAATGAGCCTCTTCCCTCAGCTCAATGAGGCCTAAACAACAAAGGAAGGCACAGCTTGCAGCCGGACAGCCTGCTAGCCAACCACAGACACACATGACAGCTTCATTCAGGAGCCCGGAGTCAATACAAAAGCTCCGAAATCAATCCGACATCCTGCGACCTCAAACAATGCGCCAAATCTTCTCAGAATTGGAGCCCCAAATGAGGGGGAGCAGCATTCAAGGGAGATCAAACCGCGGGGCTGGCATTGAAAGGGACTAAAAAAAGGAGAAGAATGTTCCCAGTTTATTAATGGCGAGGTCTGGCCGGCTGCATCCCAGCCGCCATAGGTTACGTTCATTAAAGGGCAGCGCTTTGCACGTATTATGCAGAGCGCCCGGAGAGTATGTGTTGTGTGCGTGTGTGCGCCGGCGTGCCCCTCACTTGCCAGAGATCAGGATGTGCCTTTCTGCTTAGCACTGTTGTCTCCCATCAGAAATTCCTCCTGTGTGAACCGCAAACGGGGTTTTTTCCCACTTGAGCGAACTGTATGGGCGCAGACGCGCACGCATACGCTCGCT